TTCCCGTTGCCAGATTTTCTAGGTGTATCCTGTAAACCCCTGACTTTTCTAAAGTGGTTAGCGTGTCCCGGTCGTTGCAGATACATCTGCGTAAGTTTGGTAGGGGGGTTATAGGTAGCATGAAATTATATCGTCGGAATATGCGGCTGATGTGTATAGAGATTGGTCCAAGATACGGCAATGATGACTGGATCACGGATGCTTTTTCCTTTCTGTACAGCGTGGTACATGGGTATAGGGCCTCTTTTACTTTATACGGTACTGGGATAATATACGGTAACATTGTTACCGTATATTATCCCAGCAGATGCTTTCCAATAGTCACGGTACATCAATGCCGCCATTGCTGCACTTGTTAGAAGAGTATTACTGCTTCCATCGACACAGCTAGCAACAAAAATGGAATTAGACATCATTAGAGTAGCGGTATCTCTTGCAGGATTTACATATGGCAAATATGAGCATGTGCTCCATAAAGTAAAAGAGGCCCTATACCCATGTACCATGCTGTACAGAAAGGAAAAAGCATCCGTGATCCAGTCATCATTGCCATATCTTGGACCAATCTCTATACGCATCAGCCGCATATTCCGACGATATAATTTCATGCTACCTATAACCCCCCTACCAAACTTACGCAGATGTATCTGCAACGACCGGGACACGCTAACCACTTTAGAAAAGTCAGGGGTTTACAGGATACACCTAGAAAATCTGGCAACGGGAAATATTACAAGATACATAGGAGCAACAACAAGAATTCTTGCCTCCCGCCTTGCTGAGCATCAGGATGACATAGCCAAAGGAAGATGTTCTACAGAGCTCGCTAAAAAAGTTCTCGAGCAAGGCTACAACCCATTATGGCCCAGAACGGCAATAATTAAATGCTGCAATAATCGAAGGCTTGTGTTTATCTGGGAAGCGCTTTTCACGGCTACTTCAGAAGCGTGCAATGTTCCCACCCTCGATCTACCCGGGGTGTGGATTGCCTTATATCGGCGCCTAAAAAACGAAACGTGCCTAACATCGTATCGCCAACGCGGTAGCAATTCCACGCATGCGCCGCTAGCACCGTAAAACATAAAAATTCGAACATATCAAAAATTATTTGCACGTTCTTAAACAGAATTTCCGGACGCCTGTTTGAATTTAAATATTCTGTTCCTTTGGAACATCCTGCATGTTTGTCTTGTTAAAATTTGTTCTTTCACCTGAAGACGACGATTATACATTCGTCGAAAGTGCTTGTGTTAATACTAAAGAAACTTTATTAACGCTGAACTCAGTGAATTTGTATCCATAAGTTATACAAACATTGGCATGTGTTTTTAAATTTATTTTTACATTTCTTATTTAGTTTCTTATCTATAGAATTTTATTTCATTCTGAATAAGATCTATTTTACATTTATAGTACAGTCGACCCCCTATAACATAGTAGATACATTCCGTTCTTTATGAAATTGATGTTCTAAGAGTCCTTGAATACATTAGCCAATCACAGCCCAGCAAGTATGCAGTTTATGGACTATGGATGTTTGAAAGGTTTTCTTCCATAAAATTAATCGATTCTAGACTAATTTGACTCAACATTTCTAAAATACATATAATTTTTGGGAATAATCCATATAAACTATGCTATAAACAAAAATTTGTAGGATTACTTACAGAGTGTGCACCGTTCGACGACGCCATTGCTTAAGCTTGTTTTTGTTGTGGAGTGGTGCATCGAATGGCGCTCACGTGCTTCCTGATAAATTATTTTTCTGCGAAAACTTTGCTGAACTTTGGAGACATCATTAATATAAATGTAATTTTTATGGCTGTTAAATAATAAATGGTTTTTAGTAGGTCTGCTGCTCATTTAAAGTCAACAGTTTATGCAAGATCCACTATTAGTCTAGATTCAACCAATCCTGTCGCGACATGAGTCAGCGATGACGTTTTACTGAATTATACGAGTTTTTTGTAGCGTGTTTGCATGAATATTGTCACTGTTTTTTTGCCGTCATATAGCAATCCAAACTATATGAACCCGTGTTATATGGGGGTCGACTTTATTTCTCCAAATATACAACAAAGATTTTTTTTAAATCTTATTTTTTAAAAGTCAAGGGTCATCTTATATTTAAAATATCTAGCAATGAGTTGCATAACTTTTCTGAATGTTATGAGATTTTACTTTAAAAAATCATTTATGTTATTAATTAGAATAGATAAAATTGTATATGGCACCATCTGTTCCAAGATTTTGTTATAAAAAGCTTTTTTTATATTATTAATTATAAAATGGCAAAAAGCTAAATATAGTTTGGATGTGCTCAGCAGAGAATAAATTTCAAATTTACAATTACACCTATGCAGATATTTCAAATTTATAATTACACCTATGCAAATATAAACAACTAATGAAACAATTACACCTATGCAGATATAAACAACTACGAAACCCGATGGTTAGCAAATAGACACCCACGAATTGTGTAAATAATCGGGCTATAATGTGAATAATCAAGCTGATTCTATTCTTCCAGTTTATTCTAAATTAATTAATTAAATATAATTATTAAAATTTAATAAATTAGGGATATTATTGAACATGTTCTAGTATCATTTGGCTTACTGGTTAAGGGAGTGTTGCAAATATGAAATAATTGCATTTTGTGAAGATGTAGCAAATAAACTTGCAATTCACTCTAATATAAAATGATAGCTTATGCTCTAAACTAAAACAAACACTAAACTTTATTATCATATCAATTACATGTAAAATATATGAAAGAACCACTTTACTTCACTACTATCTTTCAAAATGCAGAAGCAAAACTGAAACTTGCATCATTGCAAATGCAATAAAAAAAATATATGAATATGAAAAGATTTGTTCACATTTCAAACAATTTGTAAATGTGGACTAAATCATTCCATTTGCAGGCACTAGAGTGTACAAGCTTGTTAATCTGGCACCAAATAATCCAGAATGTCCAATAATCCAGCATCCTCAGATAAGCAATAAATAATCTTGAATTATTCAATAATAATTTGATATGCTAGTATTCCACAAATCAAAATTTGCATCACAGTACATCTAAAAACAGGGTAAAGCCAAACAACCACCATATTACATTGGGCTACTTTTCTGTGATTATGTAATCCTGTAGTTGTTTGGCTTTACAAATTTATCGGATTTCATGATGTTGGTTTCAAAACAGGATTTTCATACTTGGAGCTTGTGTAGCTTATATGAATCCTATAAACAGTACTTTTTTTCAATATATATACATGAATCATTGTGAATGTTGATTTTATGCAATAATGTGTTTATTAACATTTTTGCAAATTTTTCAATTTGTCTTAGCACAGTATCATCTTCAGACTAATTAAAGATTTTGTATCATTCATTATTGTTGTGTATGAGAAACTTTCAAACAGCTGTATCTCCAAAACTGTTGAGAATAATACCCATATTCTTATAAAGGGTATTTTGCTTATAATTCATACTATTGTTATTTTTTTTAAATTTGGGGATTACCTCCCAAATTTAATAAACTAAAATAAAATAATATATTATGCCTTAAGAAAGAATATCCTTTGTTGTTATTTGTAAGAATAATCTTGCAAAAATATTGACAAAAATCTAAAATTACATCCCAAATCAGTTTTTTCCAAAATTTACACTTTGAAAAAAAGTTTTATATTTGAATTGTCATATATTTGGATAAATACAGTGTTGTAAATAAGAAATTTTTATATTTATTTTTGTTATTTTCATTCTTTTAGATAGATATAATAAAACTGAACTTTTGTTTTTACAGTTAGAAAAAGAAAAATAGAAGTACTATCTTTAGAAACAAGAGTTCAAGTTATAAAAGAAAGTGCTTCAGGAGTAACTTTACGAAAATTAGCTGAAAAATTTAATTGTGGAAAAACCCAGATTTCCAACATTTTACAAAGAAAAGATTATTGGCTTAAAGAATGGGAAATGAATAAAAATATGAATTACAAAAGAAAAAGGAAACAGCCAAATGAAGAAGTCAATAAATATGTTTGGGAATGGTTTCAGAAGGCAAGTGCTACACATATACCAATTAGTGGGCCATTAATTCAAGAAAAAGCTAGAGAATTTGCTGAAATTTTAAACATTTCATCTTTTAGAGCTAGCAATGGATGGTTGGACAGTTTTCGAAAACGACATAACATAGTATTTAGATCAGTGGATGGAGAAAAACGGCAACTAACTGCAAGTTGAACTAAGAATTATATGGATTTTACAAAACTGACTTTCTATAATCTCTTCACATTTTTTTTAATTGTGTATTTTAATACAATATATATTTTTATTTTCATGTATTTTTAAATGTAAGAGATCATCCAAATGTTTAATCATTTCAAATAGCTTGAATACTGAAAATTTAAAACATTGTTTAATTCTGTATTAGGATAAATAGATGGATTCAAATTTAACTATTTAATTTCAAATTATCATAATGTTGTTGTTGCATTTATAAATTTAAAAAGTTTTTGTTTGAATGGATTACTTTGACTTGGATATCTAACATCCTATATATCATGCAAAACTCTTCCTTAATGATTTATTGTTATAGTGCACAAGAATATATCTATTGAAAGTTCCACCTTTTGTATTAGAAATCTTCAAAAAGAATTAATTATTCAAATTATATGACTAAACTTTTGAATTTGAAAAGTTTCAAGAAAGTTTTGTTTCGTGAACAGTTTTAAGACTGCATTATTGTTGCTTTATCTAAGACAGATATTGCACATATTTGGTATGTATAATTGTACATACTGTATGTAACTGAAAAATCTGTTTGTGAAAAATTTTATTATAAATAAAACAAATTCTATTTATAATCNTCATTAATTTGTTTTATTAAAACCATAAATTAAAATATATTAATTAGTCTCTCAAGTTTTTGAATATATATATTATTTGTTGTTTTATCATCAAAGTACTTTTGTTTTATTTTAATCAAACTCTAAGTAATTTGTAAAGGATTTTCTTGTAGTAAAATTATTGTTTTTAATAATATTTCAGGTGAGTAAAAAATGGGAACACAACAATTTTTTCTTAAATGGAACAATCATTGTTCAAATATGGTGACGATTTTTGATCAGTTATTGATGAATGAAGCTTTGGTAGATGTTACGTTAGCATGTGAAGGACTTAGCCTGAAGGCTCATAAAATTATTCTTTCTGCTAGCAGCCCATTTTTTCAAACTTTATTTTTAGAAAATCCTTGCAAACATCCAATTGTTATTATGAAAGATATGAAATATGCAGAATTAAAAGCTGTAATAGATTTTATTTATAAAGGAGAAGTTAATATTTCTCACCATCAATTACCTGGACTTCTTAAAATAGCTAAAGAGCTTAACATTAAAGGTCTGATGGATATGTCAGATGACACTGAAAGACTTCCACAAAAATCAGATGCAGAAAATGCAGCAGACAAAAGTGAATCCATTTTGCCTATTTCTGTTGAGTCTAACTATGAAGAATTTCTACCTCGGATAAGAAAAAAGAGAAAAGGCAGACGGAAAAAAAATTGTAATTCAAGTTGTAGTGATAGTGAAATAGGGCAATATGAAATCCAAAATTTTCCTGAAATAATGGAAGAAATATTACCTGAATCATCAAGCAATCCGGAACATCTCAAAGCATCAGACTATCACGACTTCTCATATCAGTCTACCTCTCAAGATATGTATCCACCTTCCTATTGTCAACAAAATGAGATTTGTGTTTATAAAGATGAAATTTCTCAGGATTTTAAAGAAAGTGTAGATGAGCATTCAAATCACTCAGAATCTTCTATTATTACAGATAAGGTAAATATTTTATTATTAATTATTTCCAAATAATCATTTTTTTTTTTAATTTTACTTTTTATATTTTTAAACAGTACTTTATAAAAATGGTTTAAATTAATTACCAAAAGTTTGAAAAATCATTCATTTATAATTTTGTTAATTAAATGATTTCATAACTTTTAGCAATTAAATAACTCCAAACTTAAATTTTTAAAAGACCTCTCTCATCTCTTCACTTTGATAATCTATACTACTATATAAGGAGACAACGTATTTTTCGTTTGTGACCACTAACCGTGAAAACTACTGAACCAATCGTTACCAAACTTTAACTGTAGCATCTTTATGATCTCTGGAATGTTTATCATTAATCAAACCTACAGATTTTTTATTAATTAAATAAAACTGCAACAGATTTTTGTGTCTATTTCTCTCTGTCTCTTCACTAGATGGCGACACACGCTGTCTATAAGAAAACTCTATTATTTACTATTATATTTGAAGAACTGACATTAAATTATAATTAGTTAATTAGCAAAATCTTTGAGGAATTAAAAAAGTGACATCATAATGCTAGATGGCCATATGTGTACAGTACTTATGGCGGGTTTTCGAATCGTTTCTGCTGGTAATTGTACAAAATATTCGAAATAGTTATTGGTGAATATTTTTGAGATTGATTGATAAATAATGCGGAGAGCTGCAAGAACACGAATAGGAAGAAACAGTTCATAATTGTAATGACGTAAATCTACACTTCTACAGCAAAGACTGGAAGGGCAACGAATTCATTCGGCTCAGAATCGAATGCGTGTAGCGAGGAATTTTTTAGGTTTCACATCAATATAACTTAATCAGAAGTTTTATGATTTTATTTTTTTATATTTTGCAAAACTCTACTGCAATACTACACATTGATCACTCAAAAATAATTAATGAACAATTAGTTCAAATTTTCTAAGTTCTATATGTATATAAGAGCGGGCAGGCCGCGATGGGGATGCTAGTCTTTATATAATATTCTAATTTGTTTCCAGTAGTTAAAATAAGCAGATTTTCCATAAATAATTATAGAACTCATTTCTGTCATGAAAATTCTATAACCTGTTTCAAAATTATTAATATGACTTGAAGTTTTTCAATGCATTTATTAAAAAACTAAAACTTTCTGAATACTAGTTACTGGAATTCTTATGGAAGACCTTACTAAATTCAAAATATATTTAAAAAATTTTTTGCAGAAATTTATTTGGATTTGCTATAAATGTCTCTCTTGCCATAAATATTTTTAGTTTGAATTTAAAAATTCTAATATCCATACTATTATACTTTTTGAAGACCAAACAAATGTCTTTCTTAATCCCAAGCCTTTCAGCACATTATTAGTGGTACAAAAATATCATAAAAAACACAGTTCAGATTCTCAGAATTGTAGTTAATTTCTTTTACAATAGTTTTTGTATATTATATTTATAAATGCACAGAATAAGCAGCACAATACATACACAAAATATTTTTAATGACAAGATAATTGCAATTGGTAAAATGCAAACTTGTAATTAAATTAATTCTTGGAAAATATTTTAATAATATGTTCCAATAGTGTGGATGATAGTGTTATTGATCTAAGTCATTAAATTATTAAAATTACTAATAGATTTCTTACAGTTAAATTAATTAGTAACATATTTTCATCAAATGTTAAAATATGTATATAATTTTATTATATATATCCTTCAATCATTGGCCATTAATTAATGTTAACATAATTTTTTTTAGTTTTTATAGTTTTTGCTAATGAAAAAATATATAATTATAACAAAAATTATGTAATTTAGTTTTTCAAATATTTCTGTTGAAAGAATTATGCATTTTTAATGTAAAGAATGTTAATATTTTTATTTTGTTTGTAAATCTTGAATTCTTTTGTTCTTGATTATAATAAAATTATAACATGGTTAACATCAAGTATATTAATTTAATTACACAGCTAAGTTTAATATATATCTTGATTATTCTGTATTGAATTAATCATAATTATGTCAATTTTAAAATGTATATATTTTATGTGAAAAAAATTAATTCATAAAACTTAAATAATTTTTGAAAATTATTTAAGTTGCTGATCATATGTTACTTTAATGAAGATTAGTGTAAATATTAATAAATTTTTTATTTAATTTTAGAAACCTGAGTGTCAAGAAGATACTCAAGAACAAATGGATTCTTCAGCAGAATGTGAAAGTATAGTAACACAAATCTATTAACCATAATAATTTTAACCAATTATTTTCATTTCTTCATTATTTTAGTTGAAAATGATGAGACTAGCAGAAAAGTTCTCATAGAAGCATAAAATAGTTTTATGTATTTTATAATTATTAGAATTAAGGGAAAAAAGAGAGAAAAAAGTTACATAGGAAAAAACAAGTTAATGAGAAGTGTGCAAGAGCATGAACAGAATAAATGGTATTTATCTGTTTAGAGAAACAAATACAGCAGATTCATTAATTAAAAGTAATATTTATCTTTGGTTGCAAACCTAATAAGAACAGATTAAAAGTAAAATATTAACATTTTGATTTGTGTATTTATTTTAAATATAGGCATCTTAAAAAATATATCAGTTTAATTTCTTTGCATCTAAATTAATTTTAAGTTCTTAAAATCAATGTTAATTTTTTGTTAATTGGTGTATAATGATTCAAAGATTACTATGATATGCTTCTTGTCTAGCTTGAAATATACTTGTGAGCACTGTGATGGCCTCTTTATTCCTAGACTTATTACACTGTCTCAGACACAAGATCAACTTTTGATTATTGATTTATTTTTGAAAAAATGAATGCATTTCAGACCTACAGTCCCTCATCAGCTTCTTTACAAATCTTCACAAAATTGACACATTTGGAGATTGAAAATGTGTAAATTTTGAGAAGATTTGTAAAAAAGCTGATGAGGGACTGTAGGTCTGAAATGCATTCATTTTTTCAAAAATAAATTGATAATCTAAAGTTGATCTTGTGTCTGAGACAGTGTAATAAGTCTAGGAATAAA